CAGTGGACATGCCCTGTCGCGTGCCTTGCCGCACTCAAACCATCCGTCCACTGTCGATGGACGATGGTCGCATCAGTGAGAAGGCCCTGTCGTGTGCCTTGCCACACTCTAACCATCCATCCACTGCAGATGGACGATGGTCGAGCCAGTGAGCCGGCCCTGTCGCGTGCCTTGCTACACTCTAACCATCCGCCCACTGTCGATGGACAATGATCTCTACAGTGGGCAGGCCCTGTCGCGTGCCTTGCCGCACTCTAACCACTCTATCCATCCATCCACTATCCGGGGACGATGGTCTCGTGGGTTTGCAAGCACCAGTGAGTGCTTTGTTTCTTGCCCGAGTCGTGCCTTCCTTGTATGGTCAGGGAAATTTCATGAAAAGCAGGCCCGGCCGGCCGAGTACCTTGCCAATGTCTGTGCCTAACTCGCATCCACCCATGTTGGTGGAGTCCCAGGACTGTACGGTCATTGTAGATATGGTGGCTTCCGTCACGCCAGTGGGCAGGCCCTGTCGAGGGCCTTGCCACACTCTAAGCATTAGTCCATTGGTGATGAACGATGGTCACATGGGTTTGCAAGCACCGGCGAATGCTTTGTTTCATGCCCAGAGTCACGCCCATAACTTAATGCCGTTCTGCCATACTCATATTGTTGTTTCGCAAGTATAGTTCTACCTGTGTTTCCTGGCCCCTGTACCAAGTGCAAGCAACGATCCGCCTCCTGGAGCATCTCGGGCTCCATGTGAACCTGTGCAAGTCTGGCTTGTAGCTGGTTCAGTCCTTGGAAGGTATGAGGCTCACCATCTCTTACATCACCAAGCCACTGGAGGCTCCTGATCGCAAAGCGTCTGGACTTCCCGCTAGCCCAGCTTCACTGTCGATCATTACAGAATATAGTGGTTGCAGGATAGACCTGCACAGCCTGGGATGTGCAACCTCGATATATGGATTCTATTGACAAGTCTCCAGCACTGGGTCCGTCACTTTTCAGTCGGGGATGGCCAGCTAGTCACCTCACAGGTGCCATCGCATTGTGCGAGAGCCCACCAGTTCAGGACCCATGCACAATAGCCAACCATAGCCACATGACTCTGCAGGAGCTAAACTCCATTCATCTACTGCTTGTGGGCGGAGTGCCTTGGTCTGCAAACCCCAGTGCATGGCATGATGGGAGTACCTTTGCATGTCGAGATTGATCATGTGACGGCTGTTGCTTACATATCCAAGGAAGGAAACATTGGCTAACTACATGTCTGTTGGCGCGACCAAGAGTACATAACTATTACTATTGGCGCGACCGCGCTGGCTCCACCTAGTCGCCGTCAATGTTTGGGACATCGCCCACGATCCGAACGACCGACACTGTCTGCAGACAACGGCAACTGCCTGTTGGACAGGCAGGTCCTTACAAAGTTACATCATTGGTACAGCCCTATTGACCTATTTGTGGTCAGGCATAACCGCTAACTGGATCAGTACGTGAGTTAACGCTCAGATTCTGAGGCCGAGGGCTAGGCTTTCTCGGTCCTTCCGGCAGACCAGACCAGTGGGAGAATGCACTTCTGCACCCTCCATTCTGCCTCATCAATTGATGCCGGATAGTTAGCGCCATTCACCATGTATAGCGAGTGCTCCAGGTGGCTCCTGTCTGGAGTTCATCGCAGTCGGACCAACTATTTAGCCACCCAGTGCGATGTAGGGAGGCAGTATAGAGCAATTACCAATGCATCTTTCTCCTCTCTCGTCGACGCTCCAGCTACGTGTCCCGGGCCTCTTGGAGTATTGGTCCGGCTGATGTAGCGACCACCCATTTGATGCCCCACGTCTATTACTGCTGGCCTGCCAGCACTTGGAGTGCCTTCAATGTTCTGGAAGTTCTGCAGACTTGGTGACTCAATCCCAGATGCCTAGGAAACGTCTGACGCGGCACGTTACGTTGTAGCTGGCTTTGAATCGAGCTCTCCGTTCATCTCGGAGCTTCGCAGTCTGTCCGTATTCAACTGCCATCAACTCCCGAAGGTACGTGCTGTGTTCGACCTTGCCTCCGTCAGCAAGACAATTGTCTAGGGTTCCAGATCTAAGACCTTCCTAGTTCCCTGGTTTGCAAGGGACAAACTTCTTTGTCCACATTCCTGTCTCGAGGAGTACTGTGACATTCCGTACTTCGACACAGCCTCGCCATAGTGTCGCAGTATTATGTTCTGTGTCCTGTGCTAGTTAGTTTTACTCGTCTGTCACCATTTTCTCCCTTCATTTCTCCGACTTGAAGGGCACCTGTACATATGGTGTATACTAGTAACATTTGTACTGTATATCAGGCACTCTGCGAGATGCCAGTTCCTTCACTCCACATCCGCGATTCTCCTTCGTGCATCACGCTTGGCTACGCCCTTGCCTTGGTGGAGGTGGTGGACCACTTTAAATGTCACACTGTCACATTCGAAGCTCCGAAGTGTAATCGTAGATTCCGCTAGGACTCGCAAGGTCCGACGTGGAATCGTTGTTACACCAGGAGTGAAGGCGAAGAATGTGACAGTGTGTTCCTGCCTGTTTTGCTGTTATCACCCACCCCTCACTGTCACTACTCTTGATTGCAATATCATTTCGGTAGCTGAGAAAAGGCCAAAGAAAGCAATAGGTGCTAGGTGCAGTCAAGGCGTGCATTAGCATTTTTATCTTTAAACCGCTGGAAATTTATGGAAAACTAGAGCGATTTGAGGCCAAACACGCTGTCACATTCTTCGCCTTCACTTGTTGTTTTCGTTGTTTTCTTTATTTGAATTCGCTAAAACCAAACGGACAGAACTGTCCAGTGACAAGGGAGCGAATGATGAGCGTCATAATCACTATGCATCAAAACATCTCAGGACAAAATGAGACAGACTATATTAAGGGAGGGTCCGCACAACACTTGTACATAAAGGGGAGTACGAGAACAAAGGCGCGGCAGAAGTCGAAGCAAGAAAGCAATCAACGCCAGAGATATTTTTGTCCACCAAAAACAGAGAGAGAGAGAGAGAGAGAGAGAGAGAGAGAGAGAGAGAGAGAGAGAGAGAGAGAGAGAGAGAGAGAGAGAGAGAGAGAGAGAGAGAGAGAGAGAGAGAGAGAGAGAGAGAGAGAGAGAGAGAGAGAGAGAGAGAGAGAGAGAGAGAGAGAGAGAGAGAGAGAGAGAGAGAGAGAGAGAGAGAGAGAGAGAGAGAGAGAGAGAGAGAGAGAGAGAGAGAGAGAGAGATCCGAGAGAGAGAGAGAGAGACAGAGAGAGAGACTAACAAATGAGGGCTGAGACCTCTACAGCAGGGCTTTACGTCTGAAAACAACCGCACGAATTAACAAGCAAGTTGTCAGAGAGCAGGGAGAGAGACGGGCAGGCAGGCCAACAGGCAGGCATATAATGAAAATATGGCGATAGTGATCCGTCTGACCTCAAGGGTTCATGCTGTGTGGAACAGCAGCAGTGCGAAATTGGGCCGGGTGCGGTATGGCCCGTACCTCGCTGGGCAACGCATTCCAGAGCCTAGCTCCTTGGAACGCGAGACAACCCTTACCCAGCTCATTGCGGGTTGGCGATGGTCTTAGACCCATTGATGATTGCAGCCGAGTAGGAGCGCCACTGGTTGGTAGCAACAGCACTTGCAGTGTGGGCCCGCGGCTAGCACGGGAGTAGCGGCAGCGCCAAACCAGGAAGATGAGCTTCTGGATGAAGATCTCCCGGACACGGTAGGCGCCGAGTTGGACTAGCAGGTTTCTGGCAGAGGTGCGCGGCGAGCATCCGTACACAGCTCGAGCCGCACGATTCTGCAGAACTTGGAGACGGTCCAGGTGCTTACCCGCCAGCGATGCTGAGAAGGCATTGGAGCCATATGAGAAATCAGGCATGATCACCGACTTGAAGTACTGGATGCGGCTTTGCATGCTGAGGCAGCGGCGCATCCGCCACAGCACACCGACTTTCTTGGTGAGGCGGGCAACGCACCTATCCATCTGGGTGTTCCAAGACATGGCGCTGTCAATGTGAACTCCTCATGTAGCCCCGATACCACGTCGGACCCTGCGTGTCCTAGCGGAATCTACGATTCTATCTGAAGCCTGCATGATTTTTCACCACCTAATGTCCTTTCGTTTGGGAGAGGAGCGCACACACACACCTGACTCGACCTACAAGTAGACTGTGCATACGCGGAGATCGAAATCTGCCTCAGTGCTCAAATTCTCAAGGAAAAAAGTTTATTGATCGCGTGAATGCCTGCAGTTGAGCCGTAATATTTTGCCGTGGATTCTGTGATTGTTCACACACACACGTACACAGCTTCGACAGCTGCGTGCTTTTGCAGTAACTACACACTGTTCAAGACGCGCTATGGCAACCACCTCACGACTATGAGATGCGAAAAGTACCACAAAAGCACGCAGCTGTCGAAGCACCTGTGGGCACCGGAGGACCAGGTTGAAGAGTACGACATTAGTTGGTCCATTGTCGACAGAGCAAAGACCTACAGCAACATCTCAAAAAGATGCGGCCTGTGTTTAGCGGAAAAAGTCAAAATCATCCGCGCTGACGCAGCCACGCTCCTCAACAAAAAATCAGAATTAGTATCAAAATGTCGACACCAGAATAAGTTCTACCTTTGGCGCTATGGCACTGGCGTCACTTAGTCACCTGCATGCCGCCGCCAGCACCTGCCTGCCGCCACCAGGCCCAGGCCAGGGCCTGCCTGCCTGCCCGTGGTCACTGTTATGTAACTTACTTGACTGTCACCCCTCCTTCTCTCCCTCCTTCTCTCCCTCCTTTTTTCACCTCCCATGTAATAACCGACACCATCCGTACCATGTTTCCCTAACTAACGTATCACTTGAAATGTCAAACTAATTTCGCGCTTTTGCCACCTTTGCGCGCTATGCCACCTGCTTTTCGCGCTTTTAATTAACTCATTTTGCGCGCCCTGTTTTAGCTACCTGCCTGGGTATAACTTTGGACCCAGATGATGTACAGGTTATCAGTTGTCTAGTCTGAGGATTGCCTTAGCTTTGCTATGTCACAAACTCAGCGTTACAACAATGACCTAGCCGGCTGTCTCTGTTCTCTTCTGTCTTTGTGAAACTGTCAGTAGATGGAGTGAGACTTAGAGTAGATATTGCTGTGTCGTTGTGTATCCATTCTCAGACCGGTCTACAAACTTGTAGTGGTCACTCAATCACGGCTACTGCTGCTGCTGCCCAACCATCGACGTCCATTAGCCGTACTAATATAGCGGTAAGGGATTACTAGTACTCGGGAAATGACTGTGTCCTACATCTATATTATGTATATCTGGCGACGACCAAATATTTTTTCCCAATACAGTCCTATTTAAATTAAGTCCCATTGTACTTGGAATATTCTTTTGCAAATCATTTCTACACTCTCGTTGTGTCTAGCCTGGCCTTGGCGGATAATGCTGGCGGAATAATTGACAGAATTTGGTACTTTTCTGGTATGTTTCATGCATGTTTGGTATGTGGATAAAGAAATGGAGCATACTTCAAGGTTTGTATAGATCTGCCACTTTCAATCCGCCAATTTGTCGACCATTATCCGCCAAGGCCTCTCTCTCTCTCTCTCTCTCTCTCTCTCTCTCTCTCTCTCTCCCTTGCCTTCTCTTCTTTTCTTCAAATTATTTTCCACGCATAAAATGAGACTCGAACTGACAACGATGAACGGCATAAAGTGCCTCCATACACCTCACATACAATCCTGCACCTTCTACCAAATTGCTTCACGTTATGATCATTCCCTCAACTTATGAATATGGGTGGAAAACCCTTTTTGGATAATGGATCAGGGAGTCCTACACAAACCAGAACAAAAATTGTTTAGGTACCACAGTACGCTATATGTACAGTATAGCACACCAGACCTGGTGAAACTAGTTGCATGGCTTGTGCCAGCCCACACGTACAAGCATATCCACACAAATATCCGAATTTAAGTTTTTTTATTGTTGAAAAAGGAACGAGAGAGCTTGAAAGCTCAGAGCACTCGCTATGCTTTGTTTTTACCTAGGCCATCATGCAAAATATAATTAATAATAAGAACACATCTCGAGAGAACTTTAAAAAAAGCTCAGGACGCCCGCTATGCTTTGTCTTAGCGTAGGTCATCATAGGTGTCACTCGAACCGATCGAAACGTCTTTGCAATACAAAAAGATGGACCCAATAGTACCGATAGAAACGTCCTACTCAATAGTCGTATTGCAAAGACGTTTCTATCGGTTCAAATAACACGCTAGAGTTTATTGGGTGTTAGCGGCCGTAGTGAGTTACCTTCGGGAACGTGAGTTCCCTTTGGGAACGGATACGATAATTTACTCTTTTTTTTCCAAATAACACGCATGATGACCTAGGCAAGAACAAAGCATAGCGAGGCTCCTCAGCCTTCAAAGACTAACCAGCACATGTATTGTGTATTCATTTTGTCCTGCTCTACATATCAGGATGTCCGGGTTGGCAGTGTGGCAGACCAGACAGACACCGTGCGGATAAAGATGAAGACAGCCGAACATGTCAAACGACCTATGAACGCATTCATGGTGTGGTCAAGGGACGAAAGAAAACAGTTTGCACAGGAGAACCCAAAGATGCACAACTCGGAGATCTCAACAAAGCTCGGCGAAAAGTGGAAGCGGCTGACCGAGGAAGAGCGTGCGCCTTACGTGGATAAGGCCAGAAGCATCAGAACAGAACATATGAAGAAGTTTCCGGATTACAAATACAGGCCGAAGCGCAAACCAAAGACCATCTCTGCCACTTCTCGTGTTCCCACCACAAATCATGATGATGAGAGTGGTCCGGATAGTCCACCTGACTCCCTGAATGGGAGAGGTTATGACCACCGGCGGTACCCGTTCTCGCCATATCAAACCTCTCGCGGCTCCAGAGCACCAGCTGGTGGAGTGCCAGTTGGAACACTGACAAGAGCGAGTAGTGCTTTCAACTTTCCTACAGCAATGTCCGCAAGCGGATGGACGAGCAGTGGAACATCTCTCTTCAGTTCTACAACACCTATCGGACAGTATAGTCAACTTCAACGCAGCTCCATATCTCTTCCTGATTTGAACGCTGCCACCATCGTACCAGCTGGTTCACTTCAGCCAGTACCAGTAAATGTATTTCCTCAGGCAAATCCTCCCGCCCCCGGACGCCAGGTGGCCACCATGGTATCGACTACACAGGCATTGAACGGCGGAAGCAGCAGTGCCACCAACCTGTACACCGCAGCACCGCAGTACCAAACGTTTATCCTACCAAGTGCCGCTCCAGGACAGCCTCAAGCGGTAATGGCAGCTGGAGCAGCGCCGCACTACGCCGTGAAAGTGGAGTCAGTGCAACAGCCGCAGCATTCCTACCCAGGCCCAGCACCTGTTGTACTCACGTCGCTGCCGCCGCAGATCCTACCCCCAACTCCTGGTGCCATCCATGCTATCCAAGCGGCGACAGCGGCGACAGGGTCCCCTTCACTAATGGCAGCACCCGCTAGTGCTGCCCAGTGCGCTGCACAATATACAACCCAGGCACCTGCAGCACGGGACCATCAAGCTCCAGTTTATTATCCAGTACAACATCCCACGCATAATGTTCAGATCCAGTAAACAAAGAAAAACACACACGCATACATACATTTTTTGACTGACATTGCACTGGTGGTTTCAGGATCAAAATCGCAGTTCTTGTTGCCGTTTCTGTTGGTCCCGTCGTGATAGTTTACAATAAACTTAAAGGGGGCACACTACCCAAAAATTCGCTGAAAACTCGAATTTGTAAATTCATATCGAGTGCTATGTCAGTTGAAAGAGCATGAATAGCTGAAAAATCACTGAAAGGTTTGTCTCGATCTGACCAGCCGTTCAAGAGTTATGGCCGAAAATGTGCCCTTGCAAGGAAAGATTTTTTTTGTTGCACGCTGTCATTTGTTGTCAGCACTGTATTTGAATCTGAGCAGACCGTGCGCAACTTGTCGTATCATGGAAACACGCGAAAGTGTGCAGAATTTTGCTCCGAGTCCAAAAAATCACGTTTTTTTTAGCCATGTATTGGGCTGCACTGGCAGCAGGACTTTTGCCAGCACCCTCGTGAAGTTGCAGATATGTGTATGTGGCTTGATTATTGTAGTCACTGACGTTGATTTAGTGACTTTGGCAAGTTTGAGTCGTGTCAAGAAGTCAGGTAGGATTCAGTGCTAGGCAGTAGTGGAACGTGAGTGGTAGTCTTTGCCAGTTTTTTGGGTATCCTGGATTTGGTGTGCAGCGCTGTGGAAATGGCTTGCTGTGGAGGTCCCAGCACTGGATGTTGTATCAAAGGTACGACCTCGTAGCACGTGCTAAACCTAAAAAAATTCAAAAATTGACTTTGGTCTGTGGGAGTCTATGAGAGCACGCCCACTCGTTCCGTTGTGACAGATTCCAGAGCCACGTTGAGGGGCCCTACCCCACCACTCATGCCTGCTTCTGGACTTTTTTTAGGTTTGGATCCCGCGCACGGACAGAATGGGCACGAAAATGTGAAAAAATTGTACATGCATTTTTTGGCTCCTGGGTGGCTCGCACACCGTGGCACTATGCCGGAATTTTGAGTTTTCCGGCCTGGAAAGCCTGTCAGTGAGGCGCAAGAACTTTTAAATCATGTCCAGAGGGCCAGCATAGTGGCAGGAGTGTGTGGTGAAACATTCACTCAAATCCATTGAGAGACACCAAATTTACGGTCAATTGAATGAAAAATATATGAAATTTATGGGTAGGCTGCTACCTTTCTTCAGAATTCCCAAACTCCATTGCAGCGTATTCCTTGCACTCGAAACGGGATTCGTCTTGTTACCCAGTACACAATATGATGAGAAAGCCGAAGCCATGCTGGACCAAGAAGCTGACTATGAGAAGGTGGCCATGACGGTGGACAAACTGGATGAGGAGACAAGACGTTTTGTCGACACTCATCTGAAGAACAAGCTCCCGGAGAAACTGGAGAAGGCAATTAAACTGAGGCACTCGCGGATGCCAAGGTTTTACGGTCTCCCCAAAGACCATAAGGCAGGATTGCCATTGCGTCCCGTGGTCAGTTCTTGCGACAGTCCTACAAGTAACCTTTCGTTGATTGTTGAAAGGATACTGAATCAGCTCCTTATGTTCGTACCTGCTCATCTAGATAGCACCGAAGCCTGCATTGAAGACATCAAGAGGCATCGCCAGGTCCCGGATGGCTGCATCATCGCCTCATTCGATGTAGTGGGCCTCTATTCGAACATTCCTATAGATGAGAGCATTTCGGCCGCTATTACCAAGCTAGAGCAGCATAAAGATGATGTCGACATGCTTGGATTGACGGTTGCGGATGTACAGCTGATGTTGCAGTATGTTCTGTCAAACAACTACTTCGAGTTCAATAGTAAACAGTACCGTCAGAAGCGTGGAATTGCGATGGGGAACCATCTGGCACCTCCGCTGGCCATCCTCTTCATGGATGCGCTTGAACAGAAGGCCCTCCGAGTCGACAGCTACAGTGAAGCCAGATCTCTACAAGCGATATATCGACGACTGCATACTACTGTGGAGACATGGCTGGAAAGGTTTAACAGCACTACTAGATCACTTCAACGGACAGCACACTACTATCAAATTCACAATGGAACACTCGGTCAACGAAACTCAGTCAGTGAACTTCCTGGATCTAGCGCTGTCTGTGCGTGGAAACAGCATAGAGTGGGAGCTCTATGTTAAGCCTTCCCACAGTGGTGTCCACCTGTCTTATGAATCATGTCTCCCCTGGTCGTGTAAAAGAGCTGTTGCAACGAACCAATTCTCTCGAGCTATCCGTAACTCGTCAACACCGGAAGCGGAAGACAGGAGCATGTCCATAATTGAAGAGTTGCTCGAGAGAAATGACTATCCACGCATCGAGATAAACGCAGCACGACGAGCAGCCAAGGGGAAGAGACAAGATACACACCCGTCTCAACAACAGCAGCGTGACAGCAAGCGCAGACACAACCAATTCAAGTCAGTCATCAAACTGCCCTTCATCAACGACTCACTTGCCGCTCGTGTCTCACGACGTGTTCGAAAGTTCAGTCCGCATGTTCGTGTTGTCTTTGTGTCTGGTCCTTCTTTGAAGGATATGTTGGTCCGATCGTCGAGTGCTGTACGTGTGTGTCCCCGTGAGAAGCAGCGATCGGAGGTGAAGAGAGGGAGAGGTCGACCAATGGAGTGTCGTGCATGTGATGCGAGTATGGTGGATAGTCAGTGTTTAGTCAAAGGTGTTGTCTATTGTATGTCTTGCACGTTGTGTGCGGAATCGTACGTTGGTGAGACCGAGCGGCCGGTGAGAGACCGATTCGCTGAGCACTACCGAGAGGCAAGGGCGATGGTGGCGAAGGCTCCCTGGGGCTTCCACTATCGTACCCAGCATCGAGAATCTTTAAAGTCTTCCAACTTTCTGCCCTTCCACCAGGCAAAGATTCTCGGCAGGGAGGCTTCGCTACCATCAAGGAAACTGCTTGAAGCTATCGAGATAAGGAAGCGCAAACCAGCAGTCAATTGCGATGACGGCTGGCGCCTAATTGACTGATTGGATGTCACCGGATCGTCACTGGAATCGACACCCATCTCCTCGAACTACCACTGGACTTTACCACCTGACACAGCACATACACATACTTTGCACATACACCGCTGTCATATACATAGATCGCCTTTAGCATTCCCACACTTGAAAGTGTTCTTGCACGTGCTGTGATAGTCTTACTAGTCTTCTTTCTTCTGTTTAGGTCACCTTACAGGTGATGATTGTAAACTTTAGTGTTAGTGTTAGTGTTAGTTTTCTTGCCAAATTGTGTCTGTGTGTATGTGTGAGTTTTCTCATCTTTCGTTTTGTTTAGGTCACCTTACAAGTGATGATTGTTTAGTTTGCTGGCCTTGCCAATTGTGTCACCATGATGTGTTAGTTCTAGAACATTCATCTGCCTACATTATTCGTCTTTATATTTCGTAATTTGGCCTCCCCTTCCTCAATGCCCTGATGATGCCCAATGGGCGAAATATTGGCAAAGTTATTTATTTGGTGCAGCTGAGAGCCTGTTGCCGGAATGGCGGTGTTTTCGAGGCTGCTACCTTTTAAAATTTTAAAAAACACTTTCTCTGTCCTCTTATTGTTTTGTTTTGCATGTACACGTACATTGTACATGTACATGCACATTGTAGCATGATGCACATTGTCATTCTTGGTGTCTCTCTCAAGTGGTAGGGTGAACGTAAGACGCAAGGGGCCATCCGTAAATATAGGTATTTATTTAGAAACGAAAACTAGTCGTTTAGGGGGAAGGGGGGGGGGGGTCGAGCGCCTGTTCGTTTCTCAAAAAATATCGATGTACATGTTGCATGTGTGAGCATGTCCAGAAAAAAAGACCAAAAATATCGATACTATGTACCATTTGTATGTGTTCGTTTCTCAGGGAGGGTGAGGGGGGGGGGGGTTGAAGAGAAACGACTAGTTTTCGTTTCTAAATAAATATCGGTATTTACGGAAGGCACCTAAGCTAGAATGACAGACATGTACAATTGTCATGTAGATCTACATTGTACATGCACATGTAGAAATGGTTTTTACAATGGGCCCTGAGCCCCTGACTAGGCATTTCCCAAATCGGCCCTATTTTTCGCCTAATCGAAGCCATTTCCACAGCGCTGCACACCAAATCCAGGATATCCTCCAAAACCACTCACGTTCCACTACTGCCTAGTACTGAATCCTACCTGACTTCTTGACACGACTCAAACTTGCCAAAGTCACTAAATCAACGTCAACTACAATAATCAAGCCACATACATGTATCTTCCAATCGATTTCTTTCCCGGTACGCATACCACGTTAGAGTGCGGATGCAGTTTTAGGAGCTCCGCTCCTATCAGCCTTTCCGAGTCTGTAACTGTAACCTACAGGAGCTGTGACTTGTACTGCGGACTATGGCCACCAATGAGCATGTCGACCTGGCCCTTCTGACGTTCGACTGTCTACAAAACCTGGCCACCCGGACTGGCATCCCGAAAGCGGACTCCTTCTCACGGCCCGACCTGGTGGGAGCGCTCCGGAAGGAGGGGATTGGGTCCCACCCCATCCTGGAAGGTATGACCGGTATAGGACATGTCACGACTGCTTTGGCTGCATTGTCCTCGACAATAATGGACCTGAATAAAGAAATAGTGGCAATTAGGGTGGGAAGAGATGATGAAATTGCTTCCTTGAAGCTTGAAATTCAACAGCTGAGGCGGGAAATGGCTGACCTGCGAGATACTAGCGTACACACACAGCACGCCATGCCACACCAGTACAGCGACGTAGTACTAGGAACCGCCACACAAACTGCAAGTGCACGTGCGAGGCTCAGCACCACAACGGGCAGGTCTGTACCAACGTACGGTACACACGCCGGCAGTGGCAGCCCGCCAGGAGAAACGCGTGTGCAACAACCCAACACTACTACAAGTCGTAGTTCCAGCCCCGCAGCAGGCGTGCATGCATCCCGTAGGTCCAGCACTACTACAAGTCGTAGCTCCAGCCCCGCAGCAGGCCTGGATGCATCCCGTAGGTCCACCGATACTGAACAACAAGTACATGAATGGCAGGAACACCAGAGCAGACGCACTCGAGCCGCCCAGAGACAAAGGCACGCGGCAGATACTAGTAGTCAGTCCCAGCTAGCTCAAAGCATAACAAGGCGGGTGGAAACATCCCGCTACACCAAGCCGGCTCGTGATAGCGAGCCGGCAGTAGACCTCACGGCATCACCCCGGGCCAAACGCAAAGTGTTTTACGTTGGCAACGTGCAGCCACACTGCTCCGCATCATCAATTGCTGAATGGTGCTCTGCCCGAGGAGTGCAGATTCAGGAAGGTGTCATATTTGCATCCAAGCACTTCAGAACTGCCTACGCACGGGTGACCGTCGAGGCAGCTGATG